CACACACAGCTAATTTTTTGATTTATTGTAGAGATGAGGTCTTGCCAAGTTGTCCAGGCTGGTCTCGACCCCTGGGCTCAGGCATTTCTCTTGCCTCATTCTCCCAAAGTGCTGGGATTTATAGACCTGGCTACATCTTGATATTTCTTAATTCTGTCTCTCTCTTTTTTTTAAGAAATGGGGTCTCACTGTATTGCTCAGGCTGGACTCAAACTGGCCTTAAGCACAGGCCACCATGCCCAGCTAGATCTTGACTTTTCTATAAAAGACATCATGAGACAATTGGGGATGTCTGAATGTGGGCTGTATATGTGATGTTATTTTGACTAATTGTTAATTTTCTCAGGTGTAACAATGTTGCTGTGGTCATGTAGGAGAACACCCTTATTCTCAGAAGAAATGTGTTAGCAGTGATGTGTTTTGATGTTTAGAAAATACTTTCACATAGTGAGCAACAAGAACTATCAGTACAGAAAGAGAGAGAGCAAATGTGACAAGATGAGTGAGAGTGAAGGGTGATGTGTGTTCATGGTTTTATTTTTGCAGTTTTTAACACAGATTTCAGCATTTTTAAATATGAAATTGTAGGGAGAATGTTAAACTTGCTAGGGGAAGAGTTCCAGGTCAGGGAGGCTTGTCCCATCTGCCCTTCCTCTGGTTGGGGCCGGGCCAGCGCATCTCTTCTTCCATCTGCACATTCACTGCCACCTCCCCAAGCTGAAACATCACCTCTTGTTTCAACTCAGGTGAAGACCCCCTGGTGGACGATCAAAATGAACGAGATATCAATTCAGTCGCAGGTGTTTTAAAACTGTATTTCCGAGGACTGGAAAACCCACTCTTTCCTAAGGAAAGGTTTCAAGATTTGATATCCACTATTAGTAAGTATTTCCCAAGTGGAACAGTCAAGTCCTTGAGAAATCTGTATTGAGGTTGGACCACGGGTTCATCACTGAAGAGGGATATTATGAAAGCGAGAACAGGGCTTGCATCCTCAGAGAACTTAAGCCTAGCTGTGGAAATAACAAGATGGCTTATAAGAAAGGGCCAGTGTATCCCTGGGTACAGAAGGAGCTCGGAGGAGAAGAAGCAGAGGAAGACTAGTTTTACAGATCAGAGCCCAGAGAGATGCATGAGCAGAGTCTTCCAGGGTGAAGGGACACAGGGGATCTTAGGAAAGGTTGGGGACGCAGACCAGTGGGACCAGCAGGAGGGTGTTCCAGCCAGTGCAAGAGGCTGGAAGAGCCAAATGAAGCGAGAGGGGGGAAGACTTGAATGCCCTGCATATGTACCAGAGCTTTTCCCCTCGGGTGATGGGGAGCCATGGAAGGTTTGGGCGTCAGGTCGGCAACATGACAAACAAGGGAAATGGTGAGAATAAGCTGACTGGGAGCTTACTCTGATGTCACCAGCCATGAGAGTCCTGTTGGACTGGTATGTTTCTGTGGCTAAGGTCCAGAGGAAGCCCAGGGGGATGACGTTGCGACATCTAGACTGTGAGGCACCCAAATCCAAGGCAATGTTTTGGGGAATAAAAAGAAGTAAACCTTTAATTTTAGAATAAATGTTTAAACTTTATCTGATTTATAGAGAATTGGCCCCCCACACAGTTTCACCAGGGGTGCTCTGCACAACACTGAGATCTGCAGGCTGGAAAGTGTCCCAGGAGGTGGCAAGAAAAGGGGGAGGCTTGAGCTGCCTTGCTTTCTTGTGTAAAAGCCCCTTCCTTGCCCTCTGCCCTTCACACTACTTCCTGTTTACCTTTCCAGATTGACCTCAAGCTCTAAATCATGTCTTTTTTAATTCTAGGTCAGACCCTGTCTAAATGCTGTCTCACTTGCTCAGCCAATGGTTCCAGAACCCTCAGTAATCCAGTTCCTGGGTAGGGCCCTGAGGATTTCAGGTCTAGGGCTTACCCAGAAACAGAAGTCAGAGACAAGATCCCAAGCATCTGCAAGAGTTCTTGGCCAGTGTGTAGCTTGAAAGGCAGATATTTATTAGACATTCATTTCCTGAGCAACTGCCGGGCCTGTGCTGCAGCTGATGTTGGTAAAGAGTTTAATGATACATGGCCCCTGCAGTGTTTATCCGAGTTCACAGATCACAGTGACAGAAACTCTACTTAAACTGGCTTAATCTATAAAAGGGAATGCATTGGTTCATGTGCCTGAAAAGTTTAGGCCTAGCTGGACTGGAACCCTCCCAGGCATCAGCAGGTCTGTCACCCCTCTGTCTCTGTGGCAGCTTCACTCTCAGCAAGATCTTCCTTCTGGGTGTCTCCCAGGAGCTCCATGCTCCCCTCCACCCAGGTTCAAGGGTTACCCCCCTATGCATTTCTCCAGTCCCAAGGATCAATTCTAATTAGGTGCTGATCATATTTATATACCCTTGGGGGGTATATGATGCTCTGATTGGCCAGGCTGGGTCACATGATCCCTACAACTGCGAGTAGAGCTGGCTTCCCCATCCATGTGGGCTGTTACAGGAGGTGGAGCCAGCCAAGCGTTTGCTACTTTGCTCTCTGAGGATGAAAGGCACCCTGAAAAGCCCCTTTATGTTACAGAACTGGAGAACCCAGCTGAGAGAGTGCACCAGATCCAACAAATCCTCATCACCCTTCCCCGCGTGGTCATTGTGGTCATGAGATACCTCTTCGCTTTCCTCAACCAGTGAGTGCCTGCCCAAGGGACCCCTCATTGAATCAGTCCTGGCCTCCTTTGGGAGGGGGTATGCCGAAGCTTTTGCAGGTGCTGTTTTTAAAGCAGAACATGGAACCCTCCTGGGTTTGTGTAGACTCCCCCAAAAGAAAGAAATCACAGGGGGAGGGTTTGCCTTTCCCAGATGACTTGTGGGTACCTCCTCTCTCCTAGCCTCTCCCAGTATAGCGACGAGAACATGATGGATCCCTACAACCTGGCCATCTGCTTCGGGCCCACCCTCATGCACATCCCTGATGGGCAGGACCCTGTGTCCTGCCAGGCACACGTCAACGAAGTCATCAAAACCATCATCATCCATCATGAAGCCATCTTCCCCAGCCCCCGGGTGCTAGAGGGACCCGTGTATGAAAAGTGCATGGCTGGAGGGGAAGAATATTGGTAAGATGCCATTCCTCTTAATATTGTTCTTATCATCATCATTGTTATTGCTGTTGAACAGGAACAGTAAGAAGCCCTTCAATTTTCTTACTGCTTGTGAGTCTGTATTTCCATATACATTTTCTCATTTGAGCTTTGCAGCAACCTTAAATGAGAGAGAGCCACACCAGTCAGGATTTTCTTGGTTACAAGGGACAAAAATACAACTCAAACTGGCTTAAGCCAAGTGGAAATTTATTGTTTTACTTAACGAAAAAGTCTGGGAATATATCTTCAGGTATAGCTTGATCCAGGGACTCAACTCATAAGGACTTAGTCTCACAATCTCCGTCCCTTGACTCTGCTTTATTCTTTGTAGCTTCATTCTCAGACAGCTCTTGCTTGGTGGTTGCAAAAAGGCGGCCCAACAACTCCAGATTTATAACTCATTCTCTCACCCTCCTTAATAGGCAAAGAGCTTTCTCCCAAGAATTGTGTTTCATGGCTGAGATTTGGGTATGAAGTAATCACATGGGTTGGGAGATGTAATGCTGTAGCTGGCTGGGTGAGTCCCGAGCCTACCACAGGAAGCAGCGGAGAGGATAATCCCCTCCTCAGCCTCATGAACTGAGTGTGACACTTGCCAGGGTTGTCCCCTCTCCCCAGGAGTCCTGTTTTCCAGGTGAAGCGAGCTCGATTTCTTTGAGTGCTCCACACCGAGTTAGTGATTGCTAATTGGGCACCTCTGTGTGCCTGGTGTATCTGGTACTACACTGGGTCATAGGAGAAATAATTTAGAATGTTTTCAAAATCGGGACTGACTGTCTTCCCCAGGCTAAGACAGAAACATTTTTTTTTAATTGTAGTGAAGATGGGAAATTCAGCAGAGACTAAAGTATTCCTGCTATTTCTTTATTTCCAATCCAGAACAGCACACAACTATATATTTAGGTGTTACCACACTGCTCCCATCCAGGGGCCTGCAGAGAAGTTTGCTTTTTGATGGTCAAAGCATTCCTGGACTCCTGGATCACCTTGGTTCTGTGGGCATATGTAGGTAACCGCTTCAAAGATGGGAAGTGTTCCACTCTTTTGTTTCCTTCCCATATGCCTCCCCACATAGAGGTCCCGGGCCATGGTGCTGTCTAATCACAGCCTTCTAATCTCATTTGAGGCACTAGGGAGCAAGTCCATCCCTGTTCTGTGACAGAATCATTAAATAGCTGGCAAGCATAATTTCTGGACAAAGAGAAGCTTTTCACTCAGTTTTTGCAACCATTACCAGTTCTGTTTGCTTGCTGCAATGTATATAATTGGTATTCTGGGAAGGGACCCACAGATCTTTGTGTACTTATTAAAGAACAATATGCAATAACTACACTTTTCTTAATCCTATTTGTTTCCCACCAGACTGGAAAACTAAATTACGTGGTAATTTTGGAGGCATTAAAGCCAAAAAGGGAGCTTTGGCTGAGGGTCTCAGCACAGTAAACAACACTCATTCATTCAAAAAATGGCTGCTGAGCATCTGTCATGGGCTGGGTTCTGCGCCGGGAGTCAGAGATAGAACCTGAGCAAGATCAAGTCCTGGTGCAGGGAGCTGATGGAGTAGGAGATAGGTAGGTCCAACCTAGGGAAGTTGGGAAAGCCTTCCTGGAGAAAGTACAGACTGAGTTGGGAACACAGGATGAACTGGAATCAGTCTGGTGCAGAAGGGGCAAAGAATGTTCTAGGCCTGGAGCAGTCACT